TGATCCAAAAAGATCTAGACAAACTTGAACAATGGGCCCTATCCAACAAAATGAGTTTCAACGTGGAGAAAAGCAAAGTTTTACATTTAGGCAGGAAAAACCAAAGGTACAAGTACAGATTGGGCGAGACCTGGTTTAAAAAGAGCAACTGTGAGAGGGACCTTGGAGTCCTAGTGGACGATCACTTGACTATGAGCCAGCAGTGTGCAGCAGCAGCCAAAAAAGCTAATACAATTCTGGCTTGTACAAACAGAGGCATAGAATCAAGATCACGCAAGGTATTATTACCGCTTTATAAAATCCTAGTAAGACCACATCTGGAATACTGCAGCCAATTTTGGTCACCTTATCATAAAAAAGATGTTGAGAATTTGGAAAAAATTCACAGAAGAGCAACTAAGATGATCAGAGGCCTGGAGACTAAAACATACGAAGAACGACTAAGGGACCTGGGTTTGGCTAGTCTAAAGAAAAGAAGAAATAGGGGAGACATGATAGCCGTTTTCCAGTATTTGAGGGGCTGCCACAAAGAAGAGGGGGTCAAACTATTCTCCAAAGCACCAGAGGGAAGGATGAGAAACAATGATAGGAAACTGATCAAAGGGAGAAGCAATAAGGAATTAAGGAGAAACTTCCTGACGGTGAGGATAATCAACCAGTGGAACAGCTTGCAGTCAGAATCGTGGGTGTTCCATTACTGGAGATTTTTAAGAAGAGGCTACACAATCACTTGTCTGAGATGGTAGCAGGGGGCTGGACTAGAAGACCTCCAAGGTTCTATTCTACTCTACTCTACTCTACTCTACTCTACTCTACTCTACTCTACTCTACTCTAGTTGCCAAGCGCCCAAAGTTTGATTATGTGACTCTGGGGATGCTGCCATGGTTGTAAGTGTGAGGACTGGTTGTAAGTCACTGGCATTATAACTTTGAATGGCTAAACAAATGGCTGTAAGTCGAGAACTATCTGCACTCTCCTAATAGGAGAATAAACATCAATGCAAGCTTTGCACTGTGTTGCAATGATGTGAGTCCTTCCTTCCAGTCTGATTCCTCTTGCAGCACTTGCTGTATAATAATAATCCCTCAACCTGACAGCCTGTCTCTGTTGTGCACATGACCCACCTGGGAGAGACACCCCTCCCTAGATTCTCCTGCAGTTCCTTTAACAAGATCAGGCATGCCAAGTCTTCTGCTGTCATGTCTGCCTTGCCCAGGTGAACTCTTTGTCATGTGAGGTATGGAAGAAACTGGAGTCTGACTGTGGTAGTTTGGGGCAAATTGACAGCCTCTCTGATCTTTGGCAAGCAATGAAGTTCAGGTTCAGCTCCAGGCAAAAGAGAATTGGCAGCAGATGGAAAAGGATTTCTTTGCCCAGAGACCCTGCTAGTTGGACTCCTCCTAGTTGGAATCAGATTGGCTGGCTGGGGAATTCTGGAACATGAAATCCACACATCTTAAAGTTGCCAAGGTTGAGAAACACTGGAGTAAATGCTTCTGCAGAAGAACACACATTAAGTCTAATCTGGTGTTAGAGTTTAGGTCAGGAGTCTTCAAACCTGGCCCTTTTATGACTTGTAAACTTCAATTCCCAGAATTCCTCAGTCAGCGTGCCTGGCTGAGGAATTCTGGGAGTTGAAGTCCACAAGTCATAAAAGGGCCAAGTTTGAAGACCCCTGGTTTAGGTGATGCATCTTAACTGAGAAAAGGCCCTGCAGGTGAGGAATGAAGAAGTCTCTTAGCAACTGCATCCCTTGGCAACAGCCACCTCTTTGCTCGCTTGATTAATATTTTGAAGAGTCTTATAACTTTAAAAAAATTAGACACCAAGCTAGCATGCTGAGAAGCTCTAGCCTCTAAGCATTATATTTATTTCCTGCAGGGCTTTAGACAGACTTCAAGAATAAAAATGGTGTTTGGCATCCTGGCTTCGATATTTCCTTTTATTTTTAAATTCCAACAACAAAAAGAATAATAATAGTGGTAATAATAATGTGTGTGTGTGTGTGTGTGTATGTGTGTGTATGATGCAAACAGATAGCTTCCAGGAATTTCTCTTGTGAAAAATGCAGTTATCATGATCAACTCTGCAAGCAGGCTTAATGGGACAGCTCCTGCAACCCAATGTGTTGTCTGGAAGGATGGGTAGGCCTGGGGGGGGGGGGTGGAGTTCTCCAGAGAATATCCAAAGTTACAGATCTGATTGGGAAGTGGAAAAACATTTCAGAAGTGGCCAGTGGCAAAACAGCCTCTTTACTATGGCCAGGGAATGATATGGGCACATCTATGGAATTCCCAGCTCAGATTGAAGGAGACTCCTTGCCACAAAGGCATGGATTTTTAAAATTCTTTTAGTGAACCCCAGGATAGCCGTTAATGTGAGAACCTCCAGGATTCTCCAAATCCCAGATACAGATAGTCCTCAACTTATCCCCACAACTGGGACCGGAACATCCATCACTAAGCGAAGCGGTAATGTGAATCGCACTCACTTCTACAACCTTTTTTGCCATGGTCATTAAGTCAATCACCAATCAGGTGGGCAATAAGCAAATCTGGCTTCCCCTGCTGACTTGGAGAGGTCATCAATGGCAGTCACGTGATGCTAGGATGCTGCCGGTTGCCAAGTGCCCAAATTTTGATCAAGTGACCTTAAGACTGCTGTGGGCAAGGACCATAAGTCCCTTTTTTTCCAGCCCCATCATAAGTATGAATGGTTGTTGAATGAATGGTTGTAAGTTAAACCAGAGGAGGAAGGTTCATGAATGAATTCCATATGTTTAACCCTGCATCTCTAAAGGTAAAGGTAAACGTAAACGTTTCCCCATCCAGTCATGCCTGACTTTAGCCCCGCCCTGGTGCTCATCACTGTTTCTTAGCTGAGGGAGCCAGCATTGTCCAAAGACATTTCCGCAGTAATGTAGTTGGCATGATTATACACTGAGGCACATAGAATGCTGTTATCTTTCCACCGAAGTGGTACCTATTTATCTACTCACACTTGCATGCTTTCAAACTGCTAGGTGGACAGGAGCTGAGGCAAGGAATGGGAGCTCACCCCATCGCATGGTGACAAGCTCAGCATCTTTAACTGCAGAGCCATTGCGCCCCTTTTCCCTGAACCTCTACCAACTTCTAAAATCAGGAGCCAAAATGCTAAAGTTTCATCGGATAAAAGAAGACAGTCAAAGAACTGATAGTGTACAAGCTCTTTCTCCAAGCTGACTTTCCCAACAGTGAGAAAACCGTCTTCTTTTGTTCATCACTGCAAATGTTATCCCTTGTTTGACCCTAAACAATGACTTGCCTTTCCTGCCAACGATTACACTCCTCAAGTATTTTCCAGCACTGTTATCACGACTGAACCTTCGCCAAACTGCAATTAACTCTTTGCTGATTCAAGTCTTTCCCATCTTTTTCCTGTCGCTTGTACAGTTGTGTCTATTGTTGTTTAGAGTAATGGCAAATACCTTTTAAAGCTTAGGGTCAGTGCTACATACAGGGAGTCTTCGAGTTAGAACCACAATTGAAACAAGAATTTCAGTGGCTGAGCAAGGCAGTTGTTAAGCCATGCTGAATTATATGACTTTTTACACCATGGTTGTTAAGTGAATCACCACAATTAAAGGAATCATGTAGCCAGCCGTTAAGCAAATCTGGCTTCCCCCATTAACATTGCTTGTCAGAAGCCAGCTGGGAAGGTCACAAATGGTGATCACACAAGTTCAGGGTGCAGCAACCATCGTAAATACATACTGAGGTAGCACAATGGTTAGAATGCAGTACTGCAGGCTACTTCTGCTGACTGCCAGCTGCCTGCAGTTCAGCATTTCGATTTTCACTGGCTCAAGGTTGACTTAGCCTTCCTTCCTTCCGAGTTTGGTAAAATGAGGACCCAGCTTGTTGGGGGCAATAGGCTGACTGTGTAAACCACTTAGAGAGGGCTGTGAAGCACTGTGAAGTGGTATATAAGTCTAAGTACTCTTGCTATACTGGTTGCCAAATGCCCAAATTTTGATCACGTTCTTGGGGGGGATGCTGTGACTATGCAAAGAACAGTTGCAAGACACTTTTTTGAGTGCTGTTGAACTATCACTAAACAAGTGGTTGTAAGTCAAGGACTATCTGTAGAATAACAGGATATCTATAAACACAGAAGTGTCCTTCTTAGAAAAAGATGGACAGGTATTTTTATGAGAGTGGTTGGTGAGATGTAAGATATGAAAAATTGAGTTCCACTGAGATAAAACACGAGGTCCAGTTTGATGGGAAGGCTGTTCCTTGTAACCTTTGGCTTGACACATTATAATTACCTTTTATGTTATGGTAGATTTTAATCTTATGGACCTTCCTTGCCTTGCCCTCTCTTGTTCTGTGGTTGAAGTTGGTCCTAGAATTCTTCTAAGAACTGTCCCTGCAATCTTTGTTTATTGACTCACATCATAAATTTAAGCCAGGCACTCATCTGCTATTTCATTTTGAGGTGGATGTATCCTATCTCATGCCAAAATTTTTGGATGGGTAACAGCATTATAAACAAATGAGGCCAGATGGGATTCTTATGTCTGGGTTAGAAATAACATGTGAAAAAGCTGTCTTTAAACGTTTATCTAGCTTAGCACCAAGTTTTCTATCATGGTCAAGGAGAAGACCTCAGAGAAGTTGAAGATGGGCAGAAAACAGCTCCTTTCTGGTCTAGATCTTTTGCAGCTGATGCAAAGTCACCATACATTCAATCATCCTGGCTAGGTTAATGTTTATACCTCCTTTATACCAATTATTAATCATAATTGGTGACAGATGCACACAGTTGCGTTAATCCAGCTAGAGTGGTTCAAAATTTTATTTTGTATAAACTCTGCCACTGGTTAAGAGAATACTTGTGATGTACAGTTTTCCAAAGGATATCACTGTTTGTTTTTTTGAAAAGGGGCTTAAATTAGCTACATTAACCCAACATTTAAAAGCTTTTGCAATTTTTTCCCCTTTTTGTATTTCAGAGTTTGGATGGAGACCAAGCCATTCTTCAGCGGATCAGGAAATACGTTAAAGCGATTCATGTTTCTGGGCTCAGTAAGTTAATGCTCCTTTATCATCTGGTGCATCAGCCAAAGAGGCCATCTGGCTGATCACCCATGGAAGGGATGTGGGTTTGTAGATACAAGTTTGAAAGCAGTTATATGTTAAACTGTATGCACCAAAGCCAGTGTGCCTTAACCTTGGCTGCTTTCAAGTGTATGGACCTCAACAGGGAGTCCCATATTGGCTGGGCAATTCTGGGAGTTGAAGTCTACATATCTGAAGATTGCCAAGGTTGAAAAATGCTGATCCAAGCCATCTACAAGACCTAGGCAAAAACTGCCCCCACCAAGGGGGAGGAGAATAATTACAACTTTCATACCCTCAAGGAGAATCTCTAAAGTAAAACCTTTTATATTTACAACCTTTTGCAGCATCCTGAGTTCACATGATAGTGATTTTTGGTGTGGTTTTTCTCTCTCTCTCTTGCTGATTTCTGGCATTTAGTTCTGGCTTCTAGCAAAAAAAAAAAAAAAGCCCATTTGGGAAAATGGGTTCATTTAACCATCACTTTGTTTGCTTAATGATTGCTGCAAAACAGATTGTAAAATTGGATGTGATTATGTGGTACTTGCTTAACAATTGCCATGCCCAATTAAATTATGGTTGCAGGTCAAAGACTTATAAAGCTATCAATCAATTTCAATCAATCAATCAATTATTACAGCTAAAGGCCAACACATAAATTAAACATTCAAATAAAACAAAACTAAGCAGAACCAACACAAGAAGACATAGCAATATATTACAATTAATGATGTAATCAATGAATGACCAAGGTCTGCCTAGTTTTACAGACAGTATAACAAAACCTAGCTACCTTCAGAAAAACTGAATCATACTGACCTGACAATAAAAATACATTGAGTATAGTCTAATGCTGGATAAAAACACATAATAAAATTAATTATAAAAGATTATTAAAAAGATCTAAAATGTTTATGTTTCTGGCGAATCCCCAGTGCTGCTGTGCAGAATCTAGCCACCTGTGCCGTGATCACTGCCTGCTCGTCCTTCAGCAGCCACTGGAGATAAATACTTTCTGAACGACCAGGATACCTATCAATTATGGGGAGGATATGGTTTTTTCCAATAGCTCTATAGAAGGAACATCAAAGGAGTATGTGTATCTGATGGATTAGATCAGTGTTTTTCATTCTTGCCATTTTAAGAGATGTAGACATCAACTCCCAGAATTCCCCATTATGGAATTTTGGGAGTTGAAGTTCACCCATCTTAAAGTTGTCAGGTTTGAAAAACACTGATCTAAATAGTGCCATTAAATGTTGATTCACCCTAATGTTCAGCTAGAGCCAATAGACCTCCCTTCTCCATCTCACAGACTTCTCCTGGTCCTTTTTTTTTTTTTTTTTTTGCTTATTGCCTCCCCTCTCTAGACGCCTCACACTTTTCTGCTTTTCTTGCAGCGGCTACACCATTTATAAACATTCCTTGACAGCTGGTTTCCTCCTCGGCAGCCAAGTATGTCTGCTTGTTTCCTCGGGTTACGTTAAGTTGGGGGTTGGATTCATAGGTAGCCTGCGATACCTAGCCTCACCTCAGGGCTAATAATGTTGGTCTACTATGATTCATTAGTCCAAGGTCTTCAAACTTGGCTTTTATGACTTGTGGACTTCAACTCCCAGAATTCCTCAGGCAGGCACACTCAGCCTCAGCCACAGTTTGTGAAGGGAATCACTACAGCTGATAAGCTAGTAACCTGGTGGTTAAGTGAATCTGACTCCCCCATTTTACTTAGCTTGTCAGACGGTCACAAAAGGAGATCCCATTGGTACACAGCAACGGTCGTAAATAGGAACCAGTTGCCAAGCGTCTGAATTTTGATCATATGATCGTGGGGATGCTGCAAAGGTCATCACTGTGAAAAATGGTCATAAGTCACATTTTTCAGTTCCGTTGAAAAATGAACTTTGAACGGTCATTAAATGAACTGTTCTAAATCGAGGACTACCTGTAGTTTATATGCCTTGTTTTAAAATACCAAGGGTTGCTTTATCACAGTGGTCATCAACTTGGCAACCTTAAGGCTTATGGACTTCAACTCCTAGAATTCCTCAGCCAGCCCTGGCTGGCTGAGGAATTCTGGGAATTGAAATCCACAAGTCTTAAAGTTGCCAAGTTTGAAGACCCCTGCTTTATCAGATCACTTATCTCAGGGGTCTTCAAACTTGGCCCTTTTATGACTGGCTGAAGAATTCTGGGAGTTGAAGTCCATGAGTCATAAAAGAGCCGAGTTTGAAGACCCCTGACTTATCAAGAAACACTCACAAGAATTCCAACAAGCAACTTGTGCAAAGGTGATCAAGCCATTTATGCATTGCCATTTGCTTCCAGCAAGAGGAACTTGTGCCCTAAAAGGGCAGTTAACCCATAGGAAAAAAACGATGGACTGGCTCTTCTGTTGCAATTAATTTAATTCATGTTCCTGCCGATGCTGAGGAGGATCTCGGAGCTGCAGAGATCTTCCATCCTCACCTTTATTTTCCCTGTCCTGATTATTTCCTCAGCTCATGTGGAGAATGAGGAACAATACAGCGAAACTCTGGAGAACTTTGGCAATAACCATCTTTCTCAGAACAATCACGAACTTTCCACTGGCTTCCTCAACCTTGCTGTTTTCACCAGGGAAGTGACGGCTCTTTTCAAAAACCTGGTAAGGGACAGAGTTGGGCATGGAGTGTAGTTTGCTGATTTATTTTTTTAAAGATGCAAATGTCAGTTGGAGGCCCCTGGCACAGCTTCCCCTGTTAAAAGTAGTATGCATAGCCAAGACAAAGTCTCTAGAAGGCAATGATGATGGTTAATTACTGCCAAGGCAGTCACAAAAAAGCCTGCCTCGTTGTGGGCAACGGTTTCCTATGTTAGCTTGGCTGCTGCTATCCCAAATGCATGTTTCCTTCCTGGCAGGCTGCCAATTCCTGAGCTGAATGACTGCTGGCCGGGGATTACAGAGAAGCTGCTTCCAGGTGGTCTGTTGAATGGGAGGGTAGGAGTAAGATAAGAGGAACTTTGCTTCACAGCTGAAAGTTCTGGGGTTTATTTGGGTTAAGTGCAGCCCTCCTGCTCAGTAACTAGGCACAATTTAGCATTTGTTGAGCCTTTCCTGCGTCAGAAAACCCATGCATTCCTTCCGTGGCTCATTCTCTGCTGTGGTGTTTCTCAGTCTTGACAATTTAAGAGGTCTGGATTTCAACTCCTAGAATTCCCCCAGCAGTATGCTGGCTGGGGAATTCTGGGAGTTGAAGTCCAGATGCTTCTTAAAAGTTGCTAAGGTTGAGATGCTCTGCTCTGGAGAGGTCTTTAAGTAGCCCGGGTAGTGTCCATGGGCATCAAGGGTAATGGTCTGGGGTTAAAAGTCCCCAGCCCAGCTTGGTGCAAATCTGGAGATGAAGAGGACAAATTATGCTAAGCCTACCAAATTCAGCCCCATGTATTCTCTGGGATTTTTGCTAAGAAGGGAAGAAAAGTTTCCAAACTTGAGGTTTGGGGTTGAAGAAATTGCATTTGTACTGTGTCCAACATTTGGGTTTCTCTCCACATGAAGTCTGTATTTTAATTTTATAAAGCTTCCCAAATAATCATCTTTTAGTAGTATGATAGGATTTATTGCAATTTACAGCCTCATGATTTATACTATGCTGACCCTGGTTCCTGGTATTTATGCTTTGCTCATAGCTTAATAGCAGTTGTCAAGCTTTTGAAATGATATGATGTATCCAGTTATTCACAATCATTCACAGTATGCTAGAAAATTATAGTCTCCATGATATTTGCAAATCCCTTGTTGACTCATTCTTTTATCCCTGTTTTTGGTTCTTTTTTCCTTCCCTGTTTATGTATATTTTTGTAAAATGTCTAATAAATATTATGAGAGAGAGAGGGGGTGGGAGAGAATGTCTCATACAGCTATATTACAAGAGAGAGAGAGAAAAGAGAATGGCGTTGCAAATCTACAGCTGGGACTTTAAGCTTGAAGAGGGGTCTGCATTAACAGTCTTAAATATTTCTCAAAATCAGGACTGGGTGGTGGGGTGGTAATGGGAAGTAGGAACATCATGCTGCTGGAAACACCTGGATACAAGGGCTGGGGAAACAGCCATTGATCTGGATTTTTATTTTTCATATTTCTGCACTGCCCAACTCCCACGTTAAAATATAAAACAGTATACAGATAGTCCTTGATTTACAATCATTCGTTCAGTGAGTGTTCAAAATTACAACAGCCCTGAACAAAGGGACTTATGACCACTTTTCACATGACTGTTGCTGTCAGAATCCAATTATATTTCATCTTTAATTATCAAACATAGAAAACCCCAATTCTGCCTTCTCTGGATTCTGCCATAAGAGGGAGAGAAGGGGGAGAACAAAGGGGCTTTATGGCCCTCACTTCCTTCAGTATACTTCTAAGGAACTGAATGTGTTTATTGCAACCTCAAAGAGTTTGAACGTAGTTAGCACCAAAGAACCTTACCATAACAAAGGGGGCTATTTACCTTTCATGTAGTTTATCTGAAGTCTCCATCCAGACGGAAGAAAGGAATAAAGGGGTGGAATTGTGATGCCTGAAACTATCACTGGAAAGGGGGGGTGATTGGGTGGGACTACTGGGGAACCCCTTAAAACCTTGAATGGGAGAGCTTGGACCCCAAGTCCTGTCTAGCATGCCTGCAACCACTTCTTCTTAATAAAGGATTCCTGTTGGAAGAATTATTCCAAGAGTTCTGTCTTCTTAAGATGCAAAGTGGGGTGGGTCCTTACATTAGACAGGACTTGCAAAATTAATCCACCTGGAAGGGAGACCCTTGCCGGGGGATTTTGCAAAAATTTACCATGTCAGACAATGGAGCAAGAGAGGGGGAAAACTCCCTGGAAAGAGAGCCGCTGACCCAGTTGGAACCTTGCCAGATGTTGGGATCCGAGAGGTCAGATTCCTCGGGAGAAGAAGTGGTGGAGACACGGGACCTGGTCAATGGGCGTTGGAAAGAAAAGTGAGTGGGGAAAGGAATCAAGAAAGGTGACCCTGAGACGGGGGACCAAGCAACCAGAATGGAAGCAGGAGATGGAGAAATCCCTGCACGCAAGTGAAGAGGGAGGAAGCTGGGCACCGTACTCAGACTGGATCCTAGAGAAAGCTATTGACCTGATGAAGAGAACTCTCAGCTCCCTAGGAGAGGAGAATCCTGAGCCCTACGGCCGCCCCAGCTCCTGGAGCCGCAAAGGGAGAGACACCGAGGGGGACGTGGAACCTGCAACCCCGGGGACATCTACTGATCCAGTAGCCCCCACCCCCTACCGGACCACAGATGGCAATCTGGACGGAAGACACTACCACCAACAATGGAGGCACCGATCCATTCCAAGACGTCCACCGTTGGAGGTGAAATTCAAAGGGGAGCCAACACGCTTGGGGTTTTTCCTAACCCAAGTCCTCAGCTACATGGAGGAATACGGGCAGGACATTCCCAGCGACAAAGCCCACATCTGGATCGTGCAATCTGCCCTGGATGGACCGGCTGCAGATTGGGTGGTGAACTTGCATGACTCCAATGCCCCAGAACTCAGTAACTTCAACCATTTCATGTCCTCTTTGAGAAGACGATTTGAAGACCCCCTGGCTGATTGCAAAGCCCGTGAAAGGATAAAAACGATGAGGCAAGGCAAACGCCCGGTGGCTGAATATACACAAGAATTCCGGGCCATTGCCAGCAAACTGAATTGGCCAGAAGACATCCTCCTTAGCCATTTCAAAGATGGACTAAACTATGATCTATATGACGCTTGCCTGCCCGGAGGGGACCCACATCGACTTGAGGAATGGTACGTCTTGGCAGAGGAAGCAGAGATCGACATATTGAAGAGGCACCACCGAGGAAAACAATGGAGCCGCCCCCCGCCTGAGCTGACACACGAACCGGTGAAATCATCGGCTACAGCCAAGAAGCAAATGGGTGTTTCAAGTGCGGAAGAGAAGGGCATCGAGCTGTAGAATGCCGCTCAAAGGCCCCCCAGCACAACCCAGACAGATCCCCAATCAACAAATCCGGAAAGTCTTCAGCTAAGCCAAAAGAAAGGGCCATGAGAATGATGGAAATTGCAGAACCCCCCACTTCTGCTCACCAAGGGGAAGGAACTCCAGCCTACACCACAGGGCCGATGGATGCCTCAGATGACAGCTCGGAGGGCGAACCCCTGGTAAGTGGATGCATCACACCCATCTTCAAAACAGTGACTATATTAATCCCCCCCATGCCCGAAGCTGTGAAGGTGAAAGACTTAATAGACTCTGGCTGTACCCGCTGCCTCATTAGCCCAACACTAGTGGGGAATCTGGGCATCCCATCCAGGAGACTGGAACAACCAATCTCATTTGGCCAGCTAGATGGATCCATAGCAGGGGGGGTGCCAGCTACCCTAGCCACTTTGCCAATACATCTCTCCCTGGGCAACCATGAAGAGGACTTAACGTTTGTGGTGACCCAGGTATGGAATGCCCAATGATTCTAGGGATGGAATGGTTGAAAAAATGGAACCCCTGGGTAAATTGGAGGACGACAGAAATCAAATTCCCGAAGGGGGACCCTATGGACTTAAAACCCCAAGGGAGGCTACCAGAATCAAGAATAGAAAAAGCATCCATAGGAGAGGAAAAAAGATTAACAGAAATACCAGAGGAATATAGAGACCTTGCTAAGTCTTCAGTGAGGAGAGGGCGAATGAGCTCCCCCACCACCAACCCACCGACTGTACCATTGAATTCAAGCCTGGGGCAAAACTCCCGAAGCCCAGATTATACTCCATGAGCCCAAAGGAGAAGGAGGAAATGGAAAGATTTATTAAAAAAAACCTAGAGAGAGGATTCATTGAGCCAGCCAAGCCTAAAGTGGCTGCCCTGGTCCTTTTTAGAGAGAAGAAGGATGGCTCTTTACGTTTATGTGTGGATTATAGGGCCCTGAATACAATCAGTGAAAGCAACCTATACCCTCTGCCCCTCATGAAAGACATGCTGTCACACCTCTCGAAAGGGAATTTTTTTTTCTAAACTAGACCTAAGGGAAGCTTACTATCGCGTGAGAATTAAGGAAGGGGACGAATGGAAGACTGCATTTAACTGCCCCATGGGGTGCTATCAATTCAAAGTCTCGCCATTTGGATTACAAGGGGGCCCTGCAGTCTTTATGCAATTAATCAATGACGTTCTAAGGGAGCACCTGTTTAAGGGGGTCCTGGTTTACTTGGACGACATTCTTATCTTCACCGAAACAAAGAGGAACATGTCAACCTTGTCAGAGCGGTTTTAAAGAAGCTGCGAGCCGCCCACCTATATGCCAAACTCTCAAAATGTGAATTCCACCAGGAAAGGATAGACTACCTAGGTTATCGCATATACCCCCAGGGCATTGAAATGGACCCAGAGAAGGTCAAAGCAGTATTAGATTGGGCACCACCCCGCACAAGAAAGCAACTACAAAATTTCCTGGGCTTTGCAAACTTTTACCGCCAATTCATCCCCTCATTTTCCCAGATAGCCTTGCCCCTCACTAACTTACTAAAAATGAAGGGAGCATCCTCAGTAAAACCTAGCCAGCCACTAACATGGACAATGGAGTGCCAAGCAGCATTTGAGAGACTAAAGAGACTTTTTTCTGCCGA